CTTTTGAAAATAATATAAGAATATCAGAACAAAGAAATGTTATGATTTTAGATTATAAAACAAATATTATGAATCTATGGAATATATAAATTTTGGAAATTTCTAATTGTATAAATATCTCTAATTGTATAAATAAGATGCATATGGTATATAATATTCTTGATTTCAAATAAAATAAACTAATTTTATAAATATTTAAACTAAGTATACAAGTTGATAATTCGATTTCAATTTTTTTATTTCGATAACTTGGTATTTTTTTTAGATAAGAATTATTGATATATGTTTTATTAATATCTTTTTCTCAAATATAAATTATTTTTTAATTATTAAAATAAATTATAAATATAAATTGAAGAATCAAGAGAAAAATAGTATAAGTGCTATTACTTATTAGGATTTAATGAATATATATTTCATATTAAGTGATATTATTTTATTTTCTTAATAAAATTTATTTTAATATTGTGATCAGAAATCAGGTAGGAATATCGTAATCATAATAATAAATTATAATAATATATAATAAAAACTAATGCAAAAGCATTTGATCGATTTTTGTTAGAATTCTTAGATAATATAATTTCTATAATTTATAATGATAAATTTACCAATCTAAATCCTAAGAAATAATAAATTTCTTAAATTTTATATTTTATCAATGATTCTTTTTGCAATTAAAACTGCAGTTTTCATCTTATTATTACTATTATATTTTGATAATTTTTATAAACAATAGAATAATTTATTTCAGAATAGAATTGGATAGTTCTTAATTTTAATATAGAAGTATTTCGAAATCGATTACAAAAGAATTTAGAAATAGATAATTACGTATCAGATTAACTAATAAGAATAAACAATTTGTAAAAACAGAAAAGAAACATAATACATAATATTTGGATAGATAATAAAAAATTTAGACATTAAGTAATCGTATATTAATATTAATATTATTAATATTAATATATATAAATAATATTAATATAATTATTTAAATATTTTCAAAGTTAAAAGTATAATCAAAGTAAAAAAATTTATTGTATTATTACTTATAAATAAATCTTTTTTTCTTTTAATAATTGAACAGATTTAGAGATTTAGTATTTCCTTCATTGTTTTATATTTCTCAAAACACTTCATTAATTTACTAAATTTTAGATGTATGTTGGCATCAGTATCTGTAATAATATATATACGTCAATATAATAAACAGTAAATAATAAATAAATAATCAATAAATAATAAATAATATAGTTAATAATTTAATCAAAGTAATAATTAAAATACATTATATATAAGAGAATTATATTTTTTCATTAAAAATTTTTTACTTACAAACAGATGAACATTCGGCGACTAATTGATTAATATCATTTTCGTCTAAATATATAGTCGTTACTTCTCGAACTACATTTTCGTTAAAGTTTCCGTCTTCGTCAACCTTGTGGGCAAAAAATGATAATTTTTTTTTCTTATTTTATACATATGTAAAATTCTATTTAAATGATTTTATTATTTATACTAACAGCGTTGAATTTTTTTATTATGCATTCACAGTAGAGTTGAGATTTCTCATCTTCTATATCAAAGTTGATTCCATTAACTTCATCTGCTTTTTCTGAATTTTG